TGCACCTGTGTCCAGATTAGATACTATTAGATTGGTGTTAGCAGTTGCTGCGCAAAATGGCTGGAAAATATTTCAGTTAGATGTTAAATCAGCTTTTTTAAATGGAGAGCTACATGAAGAAATATATGTAGACCAGCCAGAAGGATTCGTGAAGCAAGGTGAAGAAGATAAAGTCTATCTTCTAAAAAAGGCTCTCTATGGCCTCAAGCAAGCGCCAAGGGCTTGGTACAGCAAGATTAATGATCACTTATTGAGCATAGGCTTTGTAAAAAGCTTATCCGAGTCCACTCTTTATGTGAAACATAAAGGAAATTTTTTTCTCATAGTTTCCCTTTATGTGGATGATCTTTTAGTAATAGGAGATGACGCAAGGCTAGTTGACGAGTTCAAGCAAGAAATGATGCAAGCTTTTGAAATGACAGATCTTGGTCTCATGACCTATTTTCTTGGAATTGAGATCAAACAAAGTGAGAATGAAGTGTTAATTTGTCAAAGAAAATATGCAAAGGAAATTTTGAAAAAATTTAAAATGAAGGAATGTAAATCTGTTAGCACACCAATGAATCAAAAGGAGAAGTTGAGCAAGGATGATGATGCTGAAAAAATTGATGAAGGATATTATAGAGGCTTGATTGGATGTCTGATGTATCTCACTGCAACAAGGCCGGACATTCTATTTGCGGTAAGTCTCTTGTCTCGTTTTATGCACTGTCCAAGTGAAATTCATTTGCAAGCAGCAAAAAGAATATTGAGATATATCAAAGGCACTATTGATTATGGAGTCAAGTTCGATACGTGTAAAGAATTCAAGTTGTATGGATTCTCTGATAGTGATTAGGCTGGATCTATTGATGATATGAAGAGCACTTCAGGATACTGTTTCAGCCTAGGCTCGGGAGTATTCTCATGGTGCACAAAGAAGCAAGAGACTGTAGCACAATCCACCGCTGAGGTTGAATTTGTAGCAGCAACAGCTGCTGTAAATCAAGCTTTATGGTTGAAGAAGATTTTATGTGATTTATCTTTGCAGCAGAAGAACAAAACATAAATTTTTGTTGACAACCATGTTGCAATCGCTATTGCAAACAATCCAGTATGTCACGGAAAGACTAAACATTTCAACATCAAGCTCTATTTTTTTAGAGAGATGCAACAAAGTGGTGAAGTAAACTTAATTTACTGCAAGTCTGAAGATCAATTGGCTGACATGTTTACAAAGCCATTATCTATCAGCAAATTTGAATATCTAAGGCAACTGATTGGAGTTTGCAGTTCCTAAAGCAAGGAGGAGTATTAAATGTGTTTTTGTAACTGCTAGATTTATTATTACTATTTTATTTTATTGTTTCAGTTTTTTAGTCAATTAGTGGTTGCTATACTTTAGGAGCAAGCTAGTAGTAGTTGCTATACTTTAGGAGCAAATTAGTTTAATTATTCAATTCCCTAAAATCCTGGTTACGTGGGATAGTTTTCGGTTTTCCTTTCTATTATTTATTGTAACGCTTCTATTGATCAAAATATATTCCTTTCTTTTAACCAACAGTTTTCTCTACTTCTCTGCCTCTCTATTTGTTATTTTCTACCATTAAACTAACACTAGCACACGATTTAACATTATCCTTCACCTCATCCGGTTTTACATCATTACTTACAACAACTTTAGGAAACACATCCGGGTGCACCATGTCTAATACAAAAAAAAATTGATTAAAAAAATTCACAGTAACAGACAACTTCGGAGATGAATCTCCAAAACAGATAGCAGATGAATTTAGATATGCACTCCGGATGTAACGTTCATTTATTTAGCTCAACGACATGATTAATGCAAACAATGACGTATGAAATGAATGAACTTGACCTTGAATTGCAACTTATTTTGCTCTATTTGATGTGATAAAACACAAGAATGTGTTTTAGAGTCGAATAGTTGATTTATTTTTAAGAGTTTTGGGTTATGGAGGAGGTATGATATGTGAAAGAGATGATCATACAAGTTGGTCATATATTCAATTTTTCGATTGAGATTTTTGGAAATGTATCTCCAAAAATATTACTGAGTGGTTAAATGATAAACCATTTTAATGAAAACAATGTTTAAATAGTTTCATGAGTCTTTTCACAGATGCATCTGCGAATTCACCCTATAATTCATCGCAGATGAATCTCCAGACTAAATTTTAACAAAAATAAACTTTAGTGTATAATTTTAATAAAAAAAAAACTTTAGTGTATACAAATATGCATCTTAAAAAAATAATAAATATTTTTGAATTTTTAAAAATAAGGAAAAAAAACTGCCTTATGTTTTTATCATAAAATAGACCCTTTTCAGTTCATCCAAAAGGAATAAAACTGGTTTTGATGGAAAAGAACATAACGACCTAGTCAATGGAGAAGCCACTATGAGAATGGTAGCTAGAGAAAGGGACGCCACAAACAAATACTACTTATTAATAATTATTTTTCTAATTAAAAGTTAAAACATGTATAATTTTATAAATGTAGTCAAAGATGTAGCAAGTGGAAAACTAGTGGACAAAAGTTTTTGCATTGAGAATAAAATGACACTGAATGGAAAATCAACATTCCTCATCCTCTAACGACGTGTGAATTGGGATATACTCCTACTTGATTTTTGTCAAGAAAAGACGAGACTTCATGCTCCAAAAGTCAAGTGTCTAGTTTGAGGGATAATCATCCTAATTTTCTAGGTGGGCCTATTACAAAGATCACAAGAGATTTCTTTCTTGTTTTGAGCTGTGAGCACAAAAAAAGTTTGAATAACTTGAATCTGTTGTAGCTATAGATATAAACCTTTCTAGAAGTTATATTGAGAATAATCTTTTGAGTACAAGGGACCGCAATAGACATTCCTCAGAAAATTTAATCGTGCTACATTTTCAGCTAGATTGATTTCAAACTAAGATCTCTAGTTAAATTAAATGTCTCAACTAGACTAGTTTTAAACTAGAATTTCTGGTTAAATTGAATGTATGTTTAGAACCATGTTAGTACATCAAATATCAAATTCCGATGTAGGCTAAACTTTAACAATAACATGGTATTTAAACGCACTTTTACATAATGTGATGGATTATCAAACACATCCTAAAATAAATTCCTATCATCTTAAGCTTCGATTTATGAAATATGATTTGAAATATTTATAAAAAAATATCCAAAATACATAATAAATCTTAAATATATTTAAGGAAAAGTTTAAAAAAAACATCTTTCAATTTTTTCTTCGACAATGGAGATGAGTGATTTAATACTATTTTTTATTTTAAATATATATTGTGAGATTGTTTGCACAATTTTTTTAAGTATTTCATTCTTGTCACTACTATCTTTGATCATGGAGCAACCACTCATCAATATGTAATACCAATACAAAAACAACAATCAAGCTTTATTTTATTAAGTGTGTTTACATGAATTAATTTATGTCATAATGTTCTACCAATGACTATGTTTTTATCCAAATCATTAATTCAAGATTTTTCTTAATAATTTCTTTTATAATTTTTCTAAATCTTTCTCTATGGCTAAATATTTGACTCTTTTATTTTCCTTATCACAGAATCTACGAGTCTTTTCTCTATATGCTTTTAAGTCAATTAAGTCTATTTTCATCATATTTTTTATTATATGTGATACCCTAACACTCTATAATATTATCATTCTTTTAATTTTACCACACATTCAACGTAATATTCTTATTTCTGTTACACTAACTTTATTCTCGTGTTGATTTTTAACCGTCAAATATTTAGTCTCGTACAACATCACGGGTCTTACTACAATCCAATAAAATTTTCCCTTCAATTTAAGTGATACATTTATTCACATAAAATTCCTAAAGTCATCCACCATTTCAACCACCAAACTTAAATTCAATAATTCACACCCCCTTTATTTTCTCCATCAATTTGTATTACTAATCCAAAATATTTTAACCGTGTGACTTGTGGATTACTCCACGATGTACCAGTACCATAGTAATCAATACAAGACAAAACTCACGAGTATTATAAATAATGAAACCGAATAATACATATTTTATAAAATATAAAAAAAAATCAAAATTTTTGAAAACAATTATAAATCATATAAAATTGGCTCAAAACCCATATTAAAATAAAAATGATATTACATGATATTATAATACATTTATTTGTTAAAATCATGATAATGAATTCTTCAAAATGATCAATGTATTAAACTGGATCCTTTGTTCTGCTCATAATATTTGAGATTCTAAATGTGGCGGTCTCAATCAAGCAAATTTCACTGTGACGACGACAAAGAGGACCCAACCTATCTATTTATATGATAAAAACCCTAATACCATTCATCATGGATCTTAGAGGCTGAGTCTACATTTTATTCTACATAAATCAAAATTAGTATTCTAAACCTATTATTATTGATCACTTTTATTTGATTTAAGCATTTTCGAATGAATTACATTCACAATATCAATCTCTTTTGTAAAGTCAAAACTTGCTATTGATTAAAACCCACAAAAACACTTATAACATATTTTACAAATTCAAATGAATAAATATATTTTTTTAAGTCATACTCTTTTTTTATTTTTTTATTTGACAGTGATCGCACATCATAAAATATTTGCACGATTTAGTCCACTCCAACAATGTGTAGAAAGTCTCATATTGCACAATCCACATCATAAAACATGATAAAATATTATCCTTTGGACAACATAGAACACAGAAAATTCTAGAAAAACTTACCAAATGTATCAAAGTAAAACGAATTTAACATTATTGTGTAAAGTGGAGAGTGCAATCAATGCACACAAGATAGTGTTGATGGAGTCAATAAATGCTCCAAGCTCTATAGTACATATGATAAAACTCACATGAAATTTACAACTAATGACAACTACTCAAACCATCCAACAACTTGCCACTAGGCCATCTTCACCACCACAATTTTCTTGACAGTTTCTCCATTGAAGAATTTCAGCCATGTTCATCAATATGAGGAAATCATGGTTCTGGCTTTCTCTTCTTAGCCTCTTCTTCTCTTTACACTTATATCATTCTCTTGCAGCTTTAACAACCATCTCAACAAACCAATCTCTCTCTGGTGACCAAACTCTTATCTCTAAAGGAGGAATCTTTGAATTGGGTTTCTTCAAACCAGGTAATAGTTCCTCTAAATACTACATAGGAATATGGTACAAAAAGGTTAGCCAACAAACAATTGTGTGGGTAGCCAACAGAGACAATCCTGTCTCTGATAAAAACACTGCAACCTTAAAAATCTCAGATGGTAATTTAGTTCTATTAGACCAGTCTTCAAAACAAGTTTGGTCAACAAACATGAGTTTTCCTCAGTCAGATTCTGTTGTAGCTATTCTTCTAGATACTGGAAATCTTGTTTTGAGAAATAGGCCTAATGATGATGCGTCAGATCCTCTATGGCAGAGTTTTGATCATCCAGCAGATACATGGCTTCCTGGTGGCAAAATTAGGCTAGACAATATAACAAAGAAGCCTCAGTATCTGACTTCATGGAAGAATAAGGAAGATCCCGCGACGGGTCTTTTCTCTTTGGAACTAGACCCGAAAGGAACAAGTGCGTATTTGATTCTTTGGAATAAGTCTGAAGAGTATTGGACAAGTGGAGCTTGGAATGGACATATTTTTAGTCTGGTTCCTGAGATGAGGTTGAATTATATCTACAATTTTTCGTTTGTGACAAACAAGAATGAGAGCTATTTCACTTACTCCGTGTATAACCCTTCCATTATATCGCGGTTTGTGATGGACATATCCGGGCAGATCAAGCAATTATCATGGTTGGAGAATATCAAAGAGTGGAACCTGTTTTGGTCGCAGCCAAGAGCACAGTGTGATGTTTATGCTTTCTGCGGTGCGTTTGGAACCTGTACTGAGATTTCGAAGCCGTATTGTAATTGCTTGAGTGGATTCGAGCCAAAGTCACAGTCTGATTGGGATCTGGAGGATCACTCAGGCGGATGTATGAGAAAAACAAGGTTGCAATGCGAGAGTTCGGATCGCTCTAATGGGGTAAAGGACAGGTTCCGTCCAATCCCCAACATGGCATTGCCTAAACATGCGCAATCTGTGAGATCGGGGAACGCAGAAGAATGTGAATCCATATGCTTGAACAACTGTTCTTGTTCTGCTTATTCATATGACAGTAATGGATGTTCGGTTTGGATTAAAGACCTACTGAATCTGCAACAGATTTCTTCAGATGACAGCAGTGGAAAAACTTTGTATCTAAAACTCGCAGCATCAGAATTTAGTGATGCTAAAAACAGTAACAGGTTGATCATCGGTATTGTAATAGGCGCGGTAGTTGGCATAGGTCTTCTCTTGGCCCTTCTTCTGTTTTTCGTGTTTAGGCGAAGAAAGCGAACAGTTGGAACAGGTAAGCCTGTGGAGGGTTCGTTGGTGGCATTTGGTTATAGAGATATGCAAAATGCGACGAAGAATTTCTCTGAGAAATTAGGAGGAGGTGGATTCGGTTCAGTTTTCAAAGGAACATTAGCCGATTCAAGTTTAGTGGCAGTGAAGAAGTTGGAAAGTGTTAGCCAAGGAGAGAAGCAGTTCAGAACAGAAGTGAGTACAATAGGGACAGTGCAACATGTTAACCTTGTTCGTCTCCGTGGATTCTGTTCGGAAGGTACTAAGCGGATGCTGGTTTATGATTACATGCCAAATGGTTCATTGGATTTCCATTTATTCATGAAGAAGGATACTTCTGAGGTTTTGAGCTGGAAAATGAGATACCAAATAGCTCTTGGAATTGCAAGGGGATTGACTTACCTCCACGAAAAGTGCCGAGACTGCATCATACACTGCGATGTAAAGCCGGAAAACATTCTCTTAGATACAGATTTTTGTCCGAAAGTCGCGGACTTTGGCCTAGCTAAGCTAGTTGGGCGAGATTTTAGCAGGGTCCTAACAACCATGAGAGGAACAAGAGGCTACCTTGCGCCAGAGTGGATTTCAGGGGTGGCTATTACAGCGAAAGCCGATGTTTACAGCTACGGAATGATGCTTTTCGAGGTTGTATCAGGTAGGAGAAACTCTGAGGCATCGGTAGACGGTCAAGTTACTTTCTTTCCTACCTTAGCTGCAAAAGTAGTCATTGAAGGTGGCAGTGCGATCACCCTTTTGGATCCTAGATTGGAGGGAAACGGGGACGTTGAAGAAGTTGCGCGAATAATAAAAGTGGCTTCTTGGTGTGTCCAAGATAATGAAAATGAAAGGCCAACAATGGGTCAGGTAGTTCAAATTCTTGAAGGGATTTTGGAAGTGAACCTGCCTCCGATTCCAAGATCCCTTCAAATGTTTGTTGATAATCATGAGGACATGGTTTTCTACACCGATTCTAGCTCAACTCAAAGTTCACAGGTTAAGAGTAACATCTCAACAAGCTCTCAAGTCAAAAGCAATATCTCATCAGTTAGCTCTAATTTATCAGCAGAAATTTAGGGGATCACATAAGTTGTTTCTATTTTTGTTATTACTGAAATACAAATAAAATGTGATATTTTGATGTAAAGAAATGTAATTGTAATATATGGTTTGAATAATGAGATTCTCTTTTTAAGTTAGTGTCCTATAATATATATAGCATGTGTGTTTGATTAACAAAATGCTCTTTTTTTCATTGCATTTCATATTGGTCAATTCAAGAAAAGACATGAAATATTCAGCAAAGATAAGAAAATGATAGACAGAGATAGAACCTGGTGGGTGAATATTTCACATGGCGATGATTCGTCATTAGGAGGTTGGGTTGTCTGCACCCAAGGTTGCAAAACACATCTTCCTCTACTTGGAGCATGAAGACCATATTGGAATATTTTCACAATCATGTTATTTCCAATATTATAATACAGACCATGTTGAACTATTTCTTGTTATAATTTTGAGAAAAAAATGACAATTATGTATTCCGTCAAATTATATTAAAAATTTTAAATTAATTATATGACATGACAGAATAATATATTTCTATTTGATGACAGTGTAAAATATTTTTATACATTTTAAACATCAAAGGGTTTAGAATTTAGACAATTTACTAAGCCAGCTAACAAATGATTCAAGAAATCACAACATAATTTTGCAAAAGGAAAAGTAGGGTAACGCAATTCTCTAAATAAGGTTTGGCGAATCAAGTAGAGATTTTGAAATTTTTTAAGAGCAAATTCACTAAGTAAAAACAATGTTACGCCAAAATTCTTGAAGATAATCCATCTTTTCTTGCGAATTACTCAATTCATTAAAGATCGGAAATATACTTCCTAATGCATCCATTTACATTAGGTTTATGGATAAACAAATGAGTCATACCTCTTTTTTTAGTCAGAAATTAATTAGTAGATACACTTCTATAATAATTCTATATACACCTCAATGAGTTACACTTCTATAATAATTGATTCGGATATACATCTCCATATCAAAATACGGATATACAATTTCATATTCAACCTTTAGACAATAAAATTTGACATTTTAAAATCATAATACATGTTATAAATCATACACTAATGTAATAAGATGAAATACCCATATATTATAATCAATCCAGAATTCATAATACCGTCAAAATAACAAAAAAATTACAAACGATAAGTCAATAATACTATCCATAACCCCTAAACGATAATACTATCTATATTCCCTAAAACACAATGATCATACTTAAATACAAACAATTGAATTTTGCATGCTAAACGAATGAATTCAAAACTTAATCCAAAGATGTGCAATCAAAGAGGAGACTCAACGAACAATAATAAACGAAAAAAATACTAAGAGGCAAGAAAAAAAACGTATTAGGGTTCTCCCCTGAATATTCTAGAGACATGCAACTTCATGAGGAACGAGTATATCGAATGACGACCTCTCGAAGTCAGTCTTGTATTGAACCTTCGATATAAGACTTTAACTTCCCGTCCTTCTATTGCTTAATTGACCCCAAACTTTTCACCAACTTGGGTTTCCTTCGAGAGGTCGTCAGTGGATAAACTCGTTCCTCATAAAGTTGCATGTCTCTAATATATTCAGGGGAGAGCTCCAACACAAATTTATTGCTTGCCTCTTAACATTTTGTTTCGTTTATTATTGTTTATTGAGTCTCCTTCTTAATTGCACATCTTTTGATTAAGTTTTGAATCCATACGTTTAGCATGCATAACTCAATTTCTTGTATTTGAGTATGAAATTTTAATGATGAGTTGAAGAAGTACCTACTAAGTCCCGGGCTCCAATTGAGATCTAGGTTTGTCGAGAGCATAGGCATCACAATCCCAAAAACTTTCAACAATATGCTAGCCAAGGACAAAAAATGTATACAATATGAGGAAAAGCAAGCATCTAACAAAGTAATCTATGAGGGAAGATTCAAGAAGGTAGAAATGAGTAAAAGAGGAAATGAGGTGACTCAATAAGGGCATTATAATAGAGGAGAAGTCAGAAAAGAAACCCATTCTAACTAAGAATGTAAATGAGCACCACCATCAAAGTATAAAGACTACCTTCTCTGCATGCTTCGAGAGGGCACAATCTAAAAGGAATGCATCAATCGCAGATGCTTCGTGAGGCCACAATACAGATGCATGTGTTCATCTATAGGATGTTATTAAGACCTGATTAGAAAGAATATTGTCAAGGTTCGCTCACCAGGAAAAGAGAAAATACAAAGAGAAGAGGCTAGAGGATGACAACCCACCAAGGAAAAGAAATGAATTAACACAAATAAACAAGAATAAGAAGCAGTCTGATGACGAAAGATCTAACAAATTATCTATCACTTACATGGTAGCCAGAGGGGCATTTGGTGAATGGGAAAACTTTTTCATTATGATAAATGTCGAGGAAGTCCTTCATGAGTCGTGGGAGACCCTCCCCATCAACGACCAGACTAACCCTGATGAAGTGAACGATGGGGCTTGAAACAAAAAAAAAAAATACTTGCCTTCACCGAGAAGGCAGGAGGCATGACCAGATTTTGAGGGACGAGGAACGAATCCACTCACGGCCTTTTGAAGAAAATCTAAGTTTATGGAAAGTTTTAGGTCCATTAGGTAGGAAAAGGATGTGACGTTGAAGTCTTATATATAAAGGGTCAACAGAGAAGAAATATTGGTAAAAAAACTAGTAATGGTGAGATGAAGAAATACCTACTAAGTCTCAGGGTCCAACAGTGATCCATGTTTACTAAGAACATCAGCATCATAGCCGTAAAAACTTTCAACAATATGTTATCCAAGGCCAAAAATATTTTCAGTATGAGGATAAGCTAGTAGCCTAATAATGCATAAGTTTACCGCTTGTTTTAGTCGAATTTCACATGTTTTTAATGTCATTTTCATCGCTTTTGCTTTGTTATGTTGGTAGTACTTGTTATATTTTAGGTACTTATCATTTAGAAGTATATGTAGTGATAAACAGAGGAAATGGCAAAAAAGGTGAAAAAGTACCAAGTTCAAATTGATAAGACAGGCTGAGCAAGCCATGACACTCATCATGGTCCATCAAGCCAATATTGTCATCCAACCAGGGTGATAAACAAGGAGTGCATGTCCAAATTCTATGATAGGCAGACAATAACCCCACTGATGCCCGTCAATTTAAAAAAGTCATGACAGGAAGGCCGTCAGCCGAGCTGACGCCCATGACGTCATATATGTAGCACCCCAATATTTATCCTTTCATTTTCAACCGTAATTGGCTTATGTTTTGTTCATTTTTGCATTATCATTGTGCATATCATGGCATTGTCTCTTAAGACATGGGATCAAGTTTTTTTTGTGGCTCAAGACTTCCTTTCATTGTAAGTTTTAAGCAGCAAGCATCAGAGGCTTCGACATTTATTTTACTCAGTAATCGAGCACCCGATTATATTTTCCAGCAGTTTATTTTGAGCACAAGAGACAGTTCACAGTTCATGTCAGGCATTATACATGTGCAATATCAAATGACAAATTTTAGAGGTAGAACGAAGCTCGGAACAAGTGGTTAAGGATGATTCTCAAAGTTTCCCTCCTTATGGCGCCAAATTTGAAATCTTGAATGTGGTAATCGATTACCATAATCAGGGTAATCGATTACCCTAGGCGAAATTTGCCCAGATTGTTCATTTTTCAACACTGCAACATATGGATTGCATTTTGGTCATGTGATTTCTCATGTGCATCAGTAGAAGGATCTAGAAGTGGTTCCAATTTGATTCATTTTCATAAATTAGTTAAAATTCCCTCCAATTTTAAAACATTTTCATTCCTAATTCCACTCCTAATTTCCATTCCAAACACTAACCCACGCTCCAAACCCCATTTGAATTCCTAACCTAGGGATTATTTAAACAAATTCACTCCAAACCTCTCATAACTCTCACTTATTTTCTGAATTTTCTATATCTCTCATCTCTATTCTCTCAACCTTTCTCTCACTCTAAAATTCTCACAAAAGCTCCATAGCCAAAAGCTTCACAAATTGCACATTGCAATTTGTGAAACCTTGAGCTAAACCTCCATTGCATTATCATCCTTGGTTCAACTCTGGTTTTGGAATTTGTTTGGATCTTGAATTAAGTTGTTGGAATAACTTTTTGAAGAGCTTTTGCTTATTGGTGGATTATTGCTTGGATCTTTAAGTTTTCTTGCTAGAGCTTCATAGATCCTTAGATTTCTTACTTGGATCTGTTAATTGCAGCTTAACAACACTCACCAAAGCAAATCTCAACTTTGTAGGTTGGTAAATCCTAGATCTAATTCTGTTTTTGCTTAATCTTGCATTTCACAATGTACATCCTTGGTTTCTGGGTGATCTTTAACTTATTGCTTGCTTTGATCTTGTTGTTTGATTAATGCAATTGGTGTTTGATTGCTGTGATTTGACATGATTTTCGTACATAATTGATGGCTTGTTCATTTGGATGATTGGATAAGTTATTTTTTTTTCTGAAAGTGCTTTTTGGAAGTTGAAAATCTACCACTGTCTCAGTGGTAACCGGTTACCACAATTAGGGTAATCGATTACCCTTCCTTTTCCACATGTTTTTTTTTAACATTTTTAAGTGGGTAATTGATTACCCACATATTGGTAATCGATTACCACTGAGACATGATGTCTTTTTCTTGCTTTTTCAAGCTTATTTAGTTTCCTTTTCATCCTTAAACTTCATGGATTGATATGATGTATATATGTGGACTGTTCTTGACCTGTTTCAACATATTTGATAGAATTCTTGATGTTCTTCGACACACGATTTTTGGTTTTTCGTTGATGAACGTTTATGATCAGTGCGTTGTATTCTTGGTGTGTTGATCATGTTGCATATTTGTTTGCATGATGATGATTGTTGATCCTTGATGACTATCTTGCTGGATTTATGCACATGCTCATTATTTATTTCTAATTTTGTAATTGCGTGATCGTTCAAATTGATTAATCGGTGTTAAATACATGATGTTCTA